CCGCCTCCAGTGCCAGTAAGATTCTTGTGACTTGAGACTTGTGTGAGTGTGATATCCCCAGGCCCTATCTGGTCTCATCTCCCTTTGATTACCCTGTCAAACAAGTCAGCCTTCGCCCCTGTGGATGAGTGTGCAGCTCACTAACTAAACGGGTCCAGTAAGATAGTGTGATGAGTGTGCATAATTCCCAGCTACGTTTTGCTGGCGTAGATCTGAGCGCCCGTTTGTGAGTAAAATATTTAATGCATACGTGCTTGTACGTGTGTGCATGTGCGTGCGCTTTTCTTCTGTGCTCGTGCTAAAATGAAGAAATAAGTGGGGTATTGGTTACAAATGGGTCACGAACACAAAGGATGCGGGGATGTCAAGGACAGTGAGCACTGAAGCACTGGGGAATCAGGGTCTAAGCAATTGAAATGATCACACTCCGTCTGCATCATCTAAATTAATAACTATAAATCGATGTTGATGAGGAAGAGAGGTAGGATGGTGAGAAGGAGGAGCTCAAGGGAAGTAATTGTTAGCATAAATACCGCCCCCCCCCCCCTCCACCACACACGCCTCCCTCACTGCCAAGAAGAGGGATTTAGGGAAATGAGGAAAAATGGCAGCAAACCTATTACTACAGTTATAGGAAAACAGTAATCAATCATCTTGTTTTCAATGAGCAAAAGACAGAAGTGGTCACTTATGTTCATAATATAAGTGGCACAAAGATCCCAATTTGGGAACAGTTTCTGAGTTCTTCTGAAACATCGTTTTCACTTTTAAAGTGGACTGTTTACTATCCCCAGCAGATGCAATCATTTTAGTACATGGTATATACATGCTATTTGAAGATCCGCATAAAACTATCCCAAAAAGTTTGTGCATCTTCTGTGGTTTTCTAGATCTGTGGTATGCACACATGACATTCAAGAGACTTAAAGCCAATTTCACACATGACATTCAAGAGACTTAAAGTCAATTTCAATGAGCGGCCAGGGGGGGGGTGCAATGCAGACTTCGTGGAACGAAGTGTTCAACAAGAGCACCCACTTAAGGATGAGATAGTTGCGTGAGACCCGTAGACTGCAGGCACATGGTACACAATAATATGCAGTGAAAAAAAGATCAGGGCTTTCCTGAGAACGTGTGACTGCGATGTACGGCATTTACAAAGTCGATGCAGGTTTTGCAGGTTTTGTATTTAGGTAGAGTGAAGGCAAGATCAAGGCACGCTTCAGCCTGGTGTCAGAAAACGAAGCTAGAAGGCACAGCCTGTGACAGCTGGGTGGTTGTTAAATACCTAGGGACATCACCATCGGTGTCATCAGAAGACGCGAAGTCAAAGTCGTCGAAGATGGCTTCTAAGGCTTGTGGGTGCGCTTTGAGGTACTTCTCCGTATCTCGGCTTTGCCGTAACAGGCGCGGTTTTGTCTGCCTAGAAATCATTGTAAAAACTGCCCGAAATGTAAAGTGAACATTGCCACTAAATTAAAAAACACTCTATGATTCCTTTAAAAAAAAAACTAACACATGTAGTAGTAATTTCATTCACTTCCCAGCGTAGGCCCCATGAAGGTCAACGCCCCTTGAAAGGAAATTAATATCATCAAGAACATGTAGCAAATCTCATGTCTCTGTGATAATATCATCCTCTTTTGTGAACCTTTTTTCCTACTGAATACCTCTTTAAGGCCCCCAAAAGATGAAATTCTGAGAGATCTAGAACAATATCAGGGCTATATGAAGAATACAGCAATACTATTCCACTTTACTTTACTTTACTGATATCCGCCGCTTATACCCTTTTGGGTGTCGCGGGAAGAAAGAGACGTCTCTCTGCCACCAGCCGGAGAGCTTGGATCAGGGGGATGCCGTGAGTTGTTAATGTTTCCCTGACTCGGTCTATCCAGGTCTTTCTCCGTCGCCCTCTAGACTTGTTGCAATCGAATTTTAAAAAAATGTAGGCACGTTGTGCTGAGTGGTGTGTTGGTTATCGCAAGAGATATCCGAACCATTACAATTTTAATTCTTTGGTGTTGAATGTGATGCATGACATCATTTATGCCCACCATTTCTCTACTGTGTTTCTAATTTTGTCTCGCCTGGTCTTGTTTACTGCTGTTCTAAGGCATCGCATTTCACATGTTGTAATTCTTTGCTCTAATGTCTTGTTCGTGGTCCATGTTTGGCATTGATAGGTGAGTATTGGGATGAATATGGTGCTGATCATTTTGAGTTTTGTTGTCATGGGGATGTTGGGATGTTTCAGTAGAGGAGTAAGCACATTGCTGATAAATCCAGTTTGTAGGAGTGAGGATTTACGTAGTCGATTTAGAGGAAAACGCCCTTGCTTGCACTTCCAGGTCTTTTTCGGAAAATTGTTTAGAAGAATAATTGAGCCAGCATTCAACATGCCCCAACTCTTCTCAAAGACACATTCATCAATGACTGATACAGGAAAGTTAAGGGCCATATCAACGTCCCCAACTTTCATCTGGTTGTTTTCACAAAAAAGAAAGTCAACTTGCTCAATTACGGTTTGTCTTCCAGATTCGTCCACCACACAAAAACAAACAGCATCAAAGATACACCTACTTTACCTCATTACATTTGATCAAACACAGCCTCGAGATCGTTTAAAATTACAATGGGATCTGTTCCTTGAGCACTTCTACTGTTGACTGTTCCTTATAAGGATCGCCATGTTTGATATGACGTCGTATTTTGCACGCGTTAAGTGATAAATCTGGCGCTTTCGTTGTAGCCAGCAGTCTGCACAGCCTTTTTCCAACGCGTGAAGATTGTAAAAAGAACTATTAACTTTTTAGTCATAACCAATTTCACTTTACTTTCTGGACAGCAATGTTTTTATGTTTTAGGACCGACGACCTTTTCAAAAAGAGAAACACCAGCTCCCTGCTGCTGCACTGTAAGAAACTTTCAAACGGATGATAGGGAGGGAGCAAATGCATCGACTGATGGGGTGGGCCATGAAAAACGTGTTTACATGAAAATACCTCTTTTGGCTTATGGGTACTCTTCTTGGCAGGGGTGTGTAATTGCCGAAAAACGAGATACCCAGGTCTTTTAAAACAACATTTTGAATGATTCTGTAGCAGAGTCCCCGACATGTGAACATTTCTAAAAAAGGAACAAGGCATGGAATGCGTTTGTGAACAGGAGGTCTCGGCTGCACATCTGTAAGTCAAGATGAGGTTGAGTTCAAGAAATAAAGATATGATATCCAAGATAGAGCTAAATTGACTAGAAAAGCAGTCATTTTGAGTCAACAGTCCTGAAAATGAAAGGGAAATTTTACTATCATGACAAATTAGTCTACTCAAAAATTTTGACGATTGTACAGAGAGGGAGAAGAAAGCAATTTAGGACAAATAAACCATTTTGCCAAATCCCCATTATCAGAGACAAAGAAAAAAAAAGCCCCCCCCCCCCCGAACCCAACCCAAGCAAAAGAATGCGCGACAAAACCTAGGAAAAAGAAACAAAAAGTTGTTAGTGTTTTCGTTGAGCTTAATGGCTTTCTTCTGACCATGTAGAGCCTTAATTGTGCTGTGGACATTTAACAATACATAGACAGCTCCTTACAAATCTTGCGGGGGTAAATGAAGACAGGCCCGTTCTTAAAACGGAGCAAAGCCTAATACAGGGTGCCCACTACGGGTGGATCGGGCCGATCGCCCAACTCGATCGCCTGAAACTGAAAACAAACACGTTTGTTTTTGAGGCGATCGAGTCAGGCGATCGGCCCGATCGGCCGATCCCATCCGAAGTGGGCACGCTATATAACGAAATACAGCGATGTTCATTTCAACCGAACATGGTTAATCTGGAAACAGCGATAAACTGAGAGAGAAAATTCGTCTGTTCCGCAGATTCAGCTTTAAGTGGACTCCACTGTAACAAAGAAAAACCCCCACCAAAACCCAAGAACTACAAAATAACAAAAAACTTTTTAAAAACCACTTTAAAAAAACCCAAAAAAATACCTTTAAAAAAACCCCCAAAACCCTCAACAGCAACAAATGGGTTTAGAGTAAACTCACTGGTGTGGGGTCGGAAAGTCGTCGGCAATGAGTCTGCTCCCTTTCATGTGGTTACCCGACCACACTTTGTTCACACCTGGGGATTAGTGAAGGAGTAACATGAAGTTATCCTTCGACACACACACACACACACACACACACACACACACACACACACACACACACTCACACACACACACTCACACACACACACTCACACACACACATGCACACACACACACACATACAAACACACTCACACATTCACTCCTTTAATATCTTCGTATTTATCCTCCTCCTCGTTCTC